GTGTCTGAACTTCTGCAGGCCTACAACTTAACAACAAGAAGTGCCACTTCGCAGCACACTAACTAAGTAACCATCTGTCATTTCAGAACATGTCATCTCAGAAGACGGCGTTCTTCCGGATCCCGATAAGCTTCGAGCTGTCATCGAATTCCCAAAGACCACATCGCTGAAAGCCCTCAAAAGATTGTTCGTCGCTGCTCGTACTTTCGTCCCTTTGTGTGTAGCTTCGCGTCCATCATCGCACCTCTGACGAGTCTGCTCGTCACCAGCAAAGGTATATCTGCATGGTCGCCTGTGTGTGACGAGGCATTTCGTCAGCTGCACTGCCTGTGGACCTCAACACCTATCCTTCGTCACTACGACCCCACTGCTCACACAGAAATTCACATCGATGCAAGTGGCGTCGGTCTTGATGCACTTCTGGCACAACGGAAACCCCAAGCTGAACGCGTAGTCGCTTATGCAAGTCGTGCTCTCAAGAAAACTGAATTACTCCGCGACAGAGAAGGAGTGCTTGGCGATAATATGGGTGTTCAAGAAGATTCGCCCATACCTTCACGGTCGTTCTTTGACATGGTCACAGACCACCACGCTCTGTTGGCTTTCTAGCTTGAAAGACCCTTCAGGATGCCTGGGCCGTTGGGTACTTCGATTGCAAGAATACAATACTCGTGTCGTATATCGTTCCGGTTGCAAGCATGCGGATGTCGATGCACTGTTGCGCCCACCAATAACATTAAATGTGGCTTCTATGTCGCTCCTTTTTGCCACGTTGTCACCACTCGACACCACTGACATGCTTTCGGAGCAGCGTAAAGATCCATACCTTGCCTTGTTGCTCGACTACCTTACCGATCCGTCGGCTGTCCCTTCCACGAGAGCTGCTACACTGTCAAGCAGCCCACTTTTCTGTGGGAGACAAGATTCTGTACTGCTGAAACTACATGCCAAGTGGTCGGAAGTGGCTCCTTGCGGTCCCTAGTCATATGCGCTCTGATATCTGCATGAATTTTCATGCAGATCCCCCAATTGCTCACGTTAGGTGTACTAAAACCCTGCAAAAGGCTGCATCAGCGATATTACTGGCGAGGGATGTATTGCTTTGTGCAGAAATACATTCAGTCTTTCACTACATGCCCACAAAACAAGATTCCGCCGCGGCACCTTACTGCATGCTGTAGCTGCTCCCGTGCCCGGTTCGCCCATTTGACCGCGTGGGTATCGATCCTCTACGGCCCCCTCCCGTGTAGTGGCTTGGAAACCAGTGGATTATTGTCGGCGTCGATCATCCCACACGCTACACTGATACTGCAGCTCTTCCGGCAGCGACCGCTCACGAAGTTGCACTCTTCATTCTGTGCAGCTTCATTCTACGCCACGGTGCTCCGCGGGAACTACTCAGTGATAGGGGTCGCGTGTTCCTAACAGAGGTCATCTGAGCTGTCTTTGCTGAATGCAACATCATCCACCGGAAACCTAGCACATAGACAAATGGTCTAACCGAGCGGTTCAACCGCACACTCAGCGACATGCTGAGGATGTACACCTCTTGGGACCACACTAATTGGGATGATATACTACCTTTTCTTACCTTCACTTACAACACCGCGATGCAATCGACTACTGGCTTTTCCCCGTTCTTTCTGTTGTACGGCTGCAAATCTTCCCACCCACTGGACATCATACTCCCGTACCGTCCTGATTCATCTGAGTGCTTTCCAGTTTCTGAAGTTGCCAGATTCCCCCAAGACTGCCGTCAGTTGGCTCGTTCTCTGGTAAGTGAAGCTCAAGGTCGACAAAAGACTCGACTTGACAGCGGTCATCAACCAGCTCCCATATTTCGTGCTGGCTCCCTTGTTTGGCTTTGGGTGCCCCCGCACGTCCCTGGCTTTTCTTCTAAACTTCTGACGCGGTATTATGGTCCGTGTCGTATCATTTATGTGACCTCGCCAGTCATCTACATGGTCGAGCCCCTCACACAATCGCCATATTTACGCCGTCAAGGATGCGAGACCGTACACGTCGACCGTTTTAAGCCCTACTACGACCCTCTCATTGTGCCTACTCTGTGAGTCGCCACGGTGGCTACGCTTCACCCTGGGGGTATTGTAGTGGAGCATATGCACCAACGCGTATGTGGTTTTAGAAGAGGACGAAAAGCCTGCTCTCGGATTGCGGGAGAACCTGTGCCGCCTTTTCCAGCTGTGCCGCCTTTTCCAGCCTTGCTGTACGGCTTTTTTCTGTTGCGACCTCATTGTGACTTCTCTGATTCAATAAACCTCATCGCAATCTCCACATTTATTGCTTGTACTCAGTGGGAATGAAGAGTTCGTGCAGCAGCCTTACCGACTGGGTAAGGACTTAGGGAATGAGTAGCATAAGAATCTAAAGAAACTTCCAAATACGCCAGCCAAAAAATGATGTTCACAGAAGTGGAGCATACGATCATTTGAGCTGTAATTACAGTGTGGGATACTGAACATTATTGAGCTATTTTTTTGGTCAGTTTGTGGACTATATTTATATTCCTCACCTTGCCATTGCCTCTTTAGCTCGGTCACTGGCATGCTTTTTTCAATAGGCCCGTGTGCTCAGATTCGGGTGCACGTTAAAGAACCCCAGGTGGTCAAAATTTCCGGAGCCCTCCACTACGGCGTCTCTCATAATCATATGGTGGTTTTGGGACGTTAAACCCCACATATCAATCAATCAATGCTTTTTTCAAGGCGGTAGTTTAGCTAAAGGGAAATAACTAATCATGTCAGAGTGTAAACTCAAAGCATGACAACAAACATCTAAAACAGCAATATCAGTAGCAGTGTCCTGCTTACCAGGAAATTAGGCTGAATGTACCACAGGATGGGCCCCATCCGTGGAATTTTCAGAAATGATTTTGATGATGTCAGAGCTTCTGACTACAATTGATGACTAGTAATCAAACTAGCTGTAATAAAAAAATAACCTTTCGTGCATCAAGAGATGTAATAAAATGCTCGGTAACGTTGGAAGTTGGGTGAGTTGTTGATAGTTCATGTTTACTTATGAAGCAGCGTAGAGACCCTTTCGTTCAGTAGCGGTGTCCCTTTCGTTCCTTTTGTGTCTGTCTCCATGCGCTGCTTCATAAGTAAACTCAAAATTCTTGTTTGTTTCTGTTTGATCTATAGAAAAAAGAACTGGCGGGCGTTACTATGGGGAATGATGGGGGTGGTTTAAAAGTTATATTTTCGCTTGGATAGACTGGAGAGCTCATGCCATCTAGCAAGGCCTAGTTGAACCAAGCACGCTTGCCATCTTGGAGGCCTTGGCAGAAAATAGTTCTATGGCCATTGTTGCTGCTGTGGCTCCCGCTCCTTTCGCTCTGCTGCTACTAGTGCCGGTGGCCGCACTGTAAGGCCAGGCAATGTTGTGCAGCGGCAGCAGTGATACCAAAGTGTCCACATTGAAGCGAGTAATTGAAGTGTGCTAATGCGATGCGGACCACTAAAACATGATTTCATGTTAAATAAGCACTTTCTTGGCACACGTGCAGCACTACGAGTTTTCTGGACCGCTATTTCAGCAATTAACATTTGCCTAATATTTGCCTTTAGTGTCCCTTCAAGTCTGGCGAGTACCTGCCTGGATCATCGAAACTTGTCGGCCAGTCACCCTGCTCGTGCGTTGGGCAGTGTTCCGCGCAGGCTGGTTCAGTGACTGTCCGGCTCACGACATCGGTCTGAAGTGTGCACCCATCGGTGCTGGCACAGTGTGCATTCGCCTTTTGAGGAGGAAATGCTATAAATGGTGTTCTTGGTACCTCAGACATACTTGGTGTGCAGGCTTGTGTGAATAATCGAATGATTCGAATAAATATTATTGTATTTAAATTTGCTTTGATTTGAATTCAAGTTGTTCAAAATTTTGAAGTATTTGAAATGAATGAATAAGTGTATATTAGCTCGAATGTAAGTTTCTGTAAAAATTATTTCACTGCACTAAAGGGGCGCTAAGCAGTGAAAATGCCTATCCAAGAAAATCCGCACTGTCGTGAAGCCCTACGTCACGGTAAAATGAACACCTTACCCTCACATCGATTCATTATTTCTTTCAGAAAGTTCAGGAACCTGTTATGCCCTCTTATATGCTTCCAAGTATAGTGAATTTTCAAGCGTAACATATTTTACTGGTTATTACTATGCAAAATCCTGCTACTATTACAGTTGTTTCCACTTCCTTCAAACCAAGAAGAATGGCATTTGTGCAAGCCTTGTTTAAAATATTAAAAATTAAGGTCAACAGGTTGGTTGGGTCTTGACAAATATGCAAATATTTTTGTACTTTATGCTAATATATACTATTTGAAGTCTAATCAAAATTATTTGACCAAAATCATTATTCGCTTTGAATTCCCTCCGAACCTGAAATTCATTATTCACGCAAGCCTACTCATGTGGTAAGCCAAATGGATGTGTCAGAAAAGATCAAATCAAGTACAGTGGGTTCACGATTCTTCTGAATATCGGACAGGATAGTGGACACACTAAAGGGAGTCGCAGCAGGTCACTTTTGCAAAATACCACGAGGTGAGTTAAGGTTCGGAAGATGCCCATTCGCGTGCTTGTGTTACAAAACTGCGATTCGATTCAGAATGGTGTCTCAAACAGAACAGCTTGTTAGATAAAAAGTTGGGTTTTGTCAAACGTTTGATCTTGGGACCAGTGTCTCTTCGAGACAGTCACCCTACAAAACAGCGACTGTTGGTCCCCAGATTTGGGCATCACAGGAGGAGGATTTCTTTTCACCGCCCGAGATAAGATAGTGGATTGCAACTCGCCCTTTCGTAAAAAAGACGAAAGCACGAAAGAACAGCTGGCTAACACTGCATTTGAAAGTGAGTGCATCTAATGACACCTGTCGGCCATCGATTCTGGTTTTGTCGGTCTTGTAGTTTGGACTGCTGCTAAGATAAAATTCAATAAATTGAAAAAAATCCACTGATGACTGCTCGGGGGGACCTGCAGGTTGCGACGACAGGTGAAACGGAAGCAGTGTCCGTGGACCCACCCAGCACCCTCACCAGTAAGTAACATTTGGTTGCATTTAAGTAGTTGTTGTTATATCATTGAATTAGAGAGGCACGTGTTTAAATCCTATATATTTCGCTCTATTTATGACTCTAGAGGCACGTGTTTAATTCATATATATTTTGCTCCATTTATGACTCGAAATCAGTCAGTTATAAATGCAGTGGAACTTCAATAACTCAAATTTCAAGGGTAACTGAAAGTTTTTTAAATAGAACAGAGTCGAAAGTAAATGAACCCGGTTTGTTTGCAGCAACCAATGATCCTGTGTAGGAATCGGAGCCGTTGTGAGGAAAATACACACTGCATTTAATAACAAATTTTGTACTTTTCATACCGATCTAAAAAATTACTCGGTGAACAGCTAACATTGTGCTATAACTTGACTTTGAGGTTTTCATATGATGCTCTCTCCTTACAATTTTAATTTTACCCGACCTGTCCACAAGTTTGTTTGTCATGTGTGCGAAAGCTTTAGATCAACCACAGTTGGGGTTAAGGAGCCCTGCAACGCTTTTTGAGCATGTTCAGAAAACACTCGATCAGCAGTCGAGACTCCTGAGAACACGCGAGCCCAATATTATAGCACATGCACGCGGCCTGGAATTCGCAATAAATTTTCAAAGTGAGCCAGAAATTCTTTCTATTCCCTCAAAAAATGACGAAACGCGATCAAAGATCACTCGTTGCAGCCATTGTATCAGTCAATGGCTCATTTGAGCATGGCGCGCTCGGTTGTTTCTAGGGCTGCAACTTGCCCGCACGTGCACATGCGAACTGTAAAGCGGCCTAGGTGAAGTGGGTAAGGGGTGGGGGAAGAAAAAGTGCTCACAGTCGCAAAGCGTGCAAAATGCATTTCCTTTCCCCGTGCCATCCCTCCCTGCCTAGTTTTGAGTGCTTTCAGCGGGACGAGAGGAGAGAATCCAATTGCGGCACGCGACAAATTTTCGTAACTCTGCTCGTACCAAACAGATTCCACAAATTTTTTGTGGTGGGGAATTCGTGAGGCAGTGAACTTCTTTAGTGAATCCATTCCATGGCTATATGAAAATGTATTGCTGAGCCCATCAACCACATTCGATATAAAGATTGTTGTTAGATGAATGTCTCATCACATGAGCTTGTGCATCTGTTTCACAAAATTGCTGAATAGATTCACTCTGTAATTGTGGATTTAGGTGGGAAATGAAAGTTCAGTTACAGTAAGTGCTTGTTAGTATGACCCTTGCTAATTTTGGGGACTGGATAATCCGCATCTTTCCTCTGGTTGGAGCAAGAATGCGCATTATGCAATAGGACTGAACTGTCAATAACTTTGACATAATTTGCCACGCCCAGATCGATTTGGACGATCATGAGAGTGCACCTAGCTAAATACCAAAGGTGATCCTAGTGTTGAATCGGAATGAAGCACTGCATTGTCTCGGTCTTTGGCACAAACTCTTGGAACAGCAAGCGTGCATCTTGTGTTTTTTCACCCACCACTGGTTTGGTCAAATTTCTTCAGAACTTTGTGGTCATGTTTCATGGAAATGTCGTTAGTTTATCTGGCTTTCATCCACAAAAGTTCCAATTAACAATAGTTTTCGTTTGGCCTTTCTGCACATAGCCCACTCTGTCGCTTCTAAAAATTGCCCAAATACAGTTTAGGATAGCATCGAAGATGACTTCGGTTTCACACGTGACAGCCTCTGAACATGACAAACTATGCTTGCATGATGGCGCAGTGGGCACTGTCACAATGGGCGGGCTGTATTGTGGCCTGCACAGTAACATCGGACTAGCCATCTACATCTCAATGGACAAACGTTCAGTTGCCAGCCTTCTTACTCTATTGAAAATAGTCATTGGTATTAAATGTCATTGGTGTCAGTGGTATCATTGTATCAATGTTATCGAGTCATTGGTATCAATAGTATCTAATGACAACATCGAATTTGTGCTGCGGGCACATTGTGAAGCAACTTGTGAGGTAACTAGAATTTGTGTTCCCACAGCCTTTGTGCAAGAGGGAAACCGAATTTGGGGTGCGTTCACTAGGTTAAAAGTGCTTTCACGCAATATGCGTTTATGTGTTGTCTTGAAAATACCCTTGATAATTCGGCATTTCGTCTGCTGGGATCTGTTTTCATAAAACGCAATTATGGTTGACAAGATGTGATCTAGGCAAAGGTGTGATTGCGTGTGCTGTTTGTAGTTTTTTTAATTGAAGCGCGTAGTGATTGCAGCGTAACAGAAGGCGAAGGTGGATGAAAAAACAATGTCTTGTCAGTGGGAACCAAAGCCAGATTATCAGGCATGAAAGGGATATAGTAGCATCGCACGCACTACCATGAGATTACACTACCATTGTTGCGGCTTATGGCTTTGCTTTCAAGCGTGTGTCTTATCTGGGTCACCCGCTTTCACGTTGCTATGTGTGCTCTGTGCAGCAGCTGTCTGGCGAGTTGGCCGATGCTCCGGGATTCATGCTCAACCTGAACGGTCCGGTCTCGACCGAGGGCCAAACCACCTACGTCGTCTACACGTGAGACCCGGATTGCACCAAGTGCCTTTAGGAACTTGCCGTCTAGCTGCAAGGACAGCAGTGCAACCCATGTGACGACACGCTTCACTTGATTCGGGGCCGAGACGAAAGCTAGCTAGGATTCCTCATAAATGCAGTGTTATGGATGTTAGTTCATGCTATTACCCCTGCGACCACTTGAAGCACAGGAAATGAGAATTGTGGTGGTAGTACTGATTAGAGAATGCGATACGCATTTGCTCAGACAGATAGCATTGTATGTAATAAGATAGATTTGGCAATCTTTCCAGTGTTACATTTATTAGGAAAAAAGATTTTGTACCCATGAGATACTGTGTTAATACAAAACTGGATTCACATTGCCTCATGCAAGAGCTCTATGGCTTGTACATATTTTGCAGTTACGAACTGATAGCTCAAACTTAATGAGGACTGCCAGAGTTCTTGTGATTGGAATTTCGTGTCTTTTCAGTTTGCGAATAAGTTACCGTATTTACTCGCATAATAGGCGCACTTTTTTTCAGAAAATCCGGCTCGAAGTTAGGGGTGCGCCAATTACGCGGGGTAAAATTTTCGAAAATTTTTTCAAATTTTTTCAACTCGGTTCTCGCGCTTTAAATCTGCACACTTGTCAAGTAAAAGGCGACTTTATCGTTTACCAATTAATTCAGCATAAAACAAACATACCTACGTACCTTCTAATGAACAAGCGAGAGCTGTCAACTGCACACACACACGTAAAATTTATTTACACAAAAGTCGTAGCTGTTCCTCCTTTTCCCTATTCGGAGTCCGAGTCGGAGATCACACATTCATCCTCGCCGAGCGGGGATTCGTTTTCGGTGTCCGAATCATCCGCACCCCACAACATGTCATCCTCACTCGCATCCAGTGCGTTCGAGGTACCCGTCTTCTTGAAGCTTTTCCTGACGACTTCGTCGGAGATCGCCTGCCACGCTTCCACGATCCAAGCGCACAGCATTTCCACAGGCGGCCTCTTAATCTTACCACCGGTAGTCAGCTGATGTTGTCCTCCAGCCATCCAGGTGGTGTACAGCCTTCGAACATTGTCCTTGAAAGGTTTATTCAAGGACACGTCCAAAGGCTGCAGTATCGATGTGAGGCCGCCCGGAATCACTGCCAGATCTGTGCGCAGCTCCTTTAGCTCATCTCGTACGCGGTCTACTAGGTGCCCACGAAAACTGTCCAGGACAAGCATGGACGGCAACAACAGACCACCCGGCCGCCGAGCCCAGACTGTTTTCACCCAATCCACCATGAGTTCCGCGCTCATCCAGCCTTTTTCCTGGACTCTGACGTAGATGCCTTGAGGGAATTTTGCCTTTGGGAGCGTCTTACGTTTAAAAATAACGTAAGGCGGTAGCTTATGCCCATCCGCTGTCACCGCCAGCATTACGGTGCATCGTTGTTTATCAGCGCCAGACGTTCTGACGATGACGCTCCGTGCACCTTTCTCCTCCACTGTCGTGTTCCACGGCATATCAAAGCAAAGGGGGGTCTGATCAGCGTTGCCGATCTTGGACAAAATGAAGTCTTTCTGCTGTCAGAGCTTTATAACAAAACTGTGGAAGTCCACCACTTTGTCCTCATATGCTGCGGGCAAGCGCTGGCACAAGGTGGTCCGCCTTCGCAGTGCGAGGCCATGGCGCCGCATGAAACGAGTTGTCCATCCGGAGCTGGCTTTGAACTCTTTTGCTTCGATGTCCTGCGCTCGGGCTATTCTGCGCGCCTCAGTCTGCACAATATCCAACGACACAGCACAGCCGTCTTGTCGTAGCTCCCGTATATGCCGGACCAGTTGCTCTTCGACGTTCGGATACCTGCCGGTCTTGGCACCGCGGAAAGCCCGTCGTGTCTTCTTCGACGCCTTAAGTTTTTCTTCTTGGTCCCTCCAGTACCGAATACTGGTTTCTCCAACGTCGAAATGCCTGCTTGCAGCTCGGTTGCCGTGCTCCAGCGCGTACTGCACTGCCTTCAGTTTAAACCCAGCCGTGTAGCTCGCGTACTTCCCCATGGTGAAACCAAAGTTCAATACACGACCACAACATACGCACACCGCTTGCAAAATGGCGTTTCTTTCTTTTTCTCTGATGGTGGTGATGGCGATCGAGCCCCCGGCGTTGTACACGTGACCTCCAAAAAGCGCGGCGATTTGGGGGGTATCAGTAATTGATGGAACAGCCGTTTTTTTTTTTTTTTTTTGCTCATGGACGTTTTTTTTTTTTTTTTCAAGTTTTATTTCGACAAACACGTTGGTTAGGTCGTTGCACTTCGAATTTTTTTTATTTGCTCGTCAATTTGCCTTGTTTTTTTTCTTCAGGGTACGGGGACCGCGTTCCAACTGTACCGCTAGGGGTAGAATCGTTTCTGATCACGGCCAAGTTCGGGGTGCGGCTATTATGCGCGGAATTAAAAAAAAATCCAATTTTCCGCGACCAAACTAGGGGTGCGCCTATTATGCGAGTGCGCCGATTATGCGAGTAAATATGGTACTTCATTTCAAAAGTGGTCGAGAACGCTTTTCGGTGCTTTGTTGTGCAACACTGCTGATTTTGACTGTTGTCATTATTTTGCTACAAGCCTAAGAAAGTCGAGTTAATGTATCTGCCAAAGCTCTACCTTCTGGCAACATCAGCAGATGTTGGCTGCCTTCTACTCTATGAATGTTGGTGCATTTGTTCGAACAGTTGTTAAGTGACCAATGAAGGGGTTCCAGCTACCATTTTTTTTATACCCCCTCCCCTCTAAAGAACCTCGCCAATTCGTACAGTAGACTGCGGCGATCACGTTTTTTCATATATTGAAAGTGCTGCACGTCGCGCAGACCCTTCACTTTAAAAAAACAATTCTCACAACTATTTTGTTCCGACCAATCGTACGCACAGTGACGCAAACTTTCCCGGGGGCAACTATCACTAAGCTTGTCGATTGATCCTTTGCGCTACAAAACGGCGCCTTGGTCCTGCGTTGCTGCAGTTTTGACCATGCAGTCCGCATTTTTGTTTTCTTGTGTGTTGTGGGACCGTCCTATGTACGGCTGACGCAGAAGCCTATAGCTAATGTTTCAGCCGCACACAGTCGTTCCGTGCACGGTTAACGTCCCCCAACCGTAGCTTGCCTCATTGCAGCTACTACTACGGGTTCGGGCGAATAAGGCAACTGGCCAGATCAACAACAAACACTTTATTGCTAAGCGTTAGCAATCGCGCGTCACTGTCGCGGGGAGATACTACAGATAACAAAGGTGTTGACGCTTACACCTCGGTCGTGGACGTCCTCGGCTCGCAGGAGGGGTTGCGGGTTCGTCCTCCTGGGATGGTCGCTGGTGTCAGAGAGCGAGCGCCCGTTTGCCCGCTCGTTTTGTTCCCCGACCCGATTTCCCTTTCCCTGACGAGAATGGCACCTTTCCTCGCTGAGGGAGAGGGGAACCTGTTCCTGGCGCCGGGAAAAGGGGGGGGGAATCGCACGCGCCGGCCGTGGGGGAAGGGGTCCCCGCAACCAGGCGCGTGCGCTGCCCTAAAAGGGAAAGGGAGGCTGGGCGCACCTGCTCCCCACATCTCCTCCCCCCTTAAGAAGGCCCCCGAACGACAGAGACTGCAAAGAGGGAATAATTCGTTTTATTCGTCCTCTAGATAGGCCAGAAGGGCCTGGTCTACGTCCATGCCCTCGGACCGTTCGGTGTCTGCCGCGGGCACCGCCGGAGCCCCCACCGCTCTCTCACCCGCCTCCAAGGTCATTGACGCCACCTCCGGTGTCAATGCAGCCGCCACCAATGTCTCTCCCGGCCCCGCCGCCCCCCGCTCTACGGTAGCCGTTATTGATAGCGGCGCAGGCGGACTCTCGCTGGACGCGTGGCCTGAGGCAACTCTCAGCAGCCACTGCGCGAAGTCCGCCTCCTGGGCCGCCCGCGCCAGCATGGCCCGAACCGCGGCGCCGGAGCGCTCCTGGGATGATTCGCGGCTGGATGGTTGGGTAGCCTGGGTGCGGTGCCGGTGTAATTTCCCCAATTCGTGGGAGTTATGGATCACCACGGCGCCGCACTCGCAGAACCGCGTCCCTGCGGGCCCTGGAAGGCAAGCCCCGTTAGCCCTCCGGTCCGCGTCCTCTACCGTGCGCCCCTGAAAAGGGCGATACAGGTGCGCTGGGGCGACCCCAACTCGGGCCCTTTCCTGCCGGCGCCAGGGCCTCGAGGAGACGTAAGACACCGGAGGGTCGCCTCCATCCTGGCTGGTCCAGGTTGCCACGTCTCGGTGGTTGCGGCCGTGAGGCGATGCGGTCGGCTCGCCGCGTTGGGACCCTGGTCTCGTTCCCTGTGAACCGGCGGGTCGTGATGGTGACGGCGAAGCCGAGAGTTGGTGACCAGGCGGCAGCGCGCGCGGACCCCCTCGGTGGCGGCGGCTCGAGTGGCTCTGCCTCGGCGTTCGCGGCCGGGCCGCAGTGGGGTAGGGCTGCCATGTGGACGTTGGTGGGGGTGGGGGCTGGCCGTAAGGAGGTGGTCTCCTCTCCTTGCTGTTCCGGCGGTGCTGTTCCCAATGGCGCTCCATCTGTTCGGTGAGAGTGATACAGATAAAGAACGACAGGTTAACAATCGCACATGTGTTGCGCGCTAACCCTTGCACCCCGCGTCGAACATATCAAACGCGGCCTACCGTGCATAGTTGCCTCCGACTGTTACGCAGGAAGTAGCGCGGTTCTGGGCTCCCGACCCGGTGTCGAACCATCTCACCCGCCGCGCGCGGCTTGGAGGGGGACTGACCGTAGTCCTCATGCGCCTCCCGTGCTATGTAGCGTTTCAAGTCACATACATGCACCGGTCCGCCGCTCGGTTTGCCTTTCATGTTCGCGAGTCGATAAACGAGCGAAGAAACTTTCTCTCGCACTCGGTACGGCCCGGACCATTTCGGTGCCAGCGAGGCAGCAAACTGTTTGCTAGCATTACTGAGAACATGATGGCGCCGCATCACCAGATCGCCCACTTCGTAGTGTACGTTCCTACGCGTGCGGTCATACTGCGCCTTCTGCTGTGCCCTAGCAGTGCGGAGATTATGTCGAGCTTTATGTAAAGCTTCCGCTAGCTTCTCGCGCAGCTGCGTTGCGTATTCAGCGCGTGCTGATGTCGCCACTGGCACTCCACTGCGGTCCGCGAGTACGGTCTCCATCGGATTCGGCAGTTCTCTCCCCAAGTTCAGAGAAGAAGGCGCATACCCAGTCGATCGGTTTACGGTCGATCGTAATGCAAAACCGATCTCTGGAAGATAGGTATCCCAGTCCTTATGTCTTTCAGAGAACGCGACAAGCATGTGCTTGATGTTGCGATTGACTCGCTCCGTGGGGTTCGACTGAGCATGGTAGGTGGTTGTTTTCTTGTGCTTAATGCCCAACGCGGCGCACGTGTCAACAAACACCTTCGCAGTGAAATAAGACGCGTTGTCTGTAATCAACTGCTCGGGGAACCCGAACCTGGTAAAAACCTCCATCAACTTCTCTAAAATCACTCGAGCCGTCAGCTTCCTAAGGGGAAAAAGTTCTACCCATTTAGTGAAGTGATCCGTGATCACCAGCAAGAACTTATTTCTGCTAGGAGTTGAGGGGTACGGGCCCATTACGTCACACGCTGCGATTTGCCAGGGAGTCTGACTGTTAATCGGTTGCATGAGGCCGGGCGGACGTCCTCCTCGCGGCTTGACGCTTTGGCACACACGACATGAACGGGCGTAGCGAATCACATCCCGCTTCATACCTGGCCAGGTAGCGAGGCGACACAACTTAGCGTAAGTCTTAGGGCCGCTCGCATGCCCACCAATGCACGAGTCATGAAAGTAGCGAAGAAGCGCTCCTCTCAACGCGCGCGGTATCACGACTTTAAATGACTCACTTGTGTCATCGTCGGATGGAATGTACCTCAGCAGGACGCCGTCAGAATCTAGCAGATATGAATCCAGCGCGCTCACAGCACTACCAGCTGTTGCCGAGCGCTCCGCACCGACAGCAATACCAGCTGCCCCCTTGTGCGCGGTGGCCTCACTACCACCCGGCTCCCGGAGCCCGTCGAACACCTTTCGACAAAATGGATCTTTCTGCTGAGCTTCTAACAGCTCCCTTCTGCTGAAAACAACCCCTGCGCTAACGACAGCCTCTACGTGGTTCACGCTCTTAGCTCGAACTAACGTTTGCTCCGCTGTTTGCGTTAGCGCGAGTGTCTCGCTCTCAGTTCGTTCCGAATTAGTCGCGTGACTTGCCTCGTGTCGAACTGGAGCACGCGATAGTGCGTCGGCCGCGGCATTGTTCTTACCCTTGCGGTAGCGGACGGTGAAGTCATAACGCTGCAGCAACAATGCCCAACGCGCCAATCGGCCACTTGGTTCGTTCAAACGCCTCAACCACGTGAGCGCCATGTGGTCCGTTTCAATCACAAACGCAACTCCGTCTATGTAAAAGTCAAACTTACGGAGAGCAAAAACTATCGCCAGACACTCTTTCTCGGTTACTGAGTAGTTCCTCTCCGCCGGTGTCAACGTACGGCTCGCGAACGCAATCGGTCGGAGGGAACCTCCATGCTCCTGAAGCAAAATTGCTCCTAAGCCCAGGTCGCTTGCATCGGTGTGAATAACAAACTCCCTGTTCAAATCGGGTAGCTGCAGCTGAGCCGTGTTGGCCAGCAACTTCGTGAGGCGACGCAGTGCGGCCTCTTGCTCTTGGCTCCAAGCCCAACGCTCACCATTCCTCAAGAGCTTCGTTAAAGGCGCCTGCACTGCCGCGCAATCTGGAATGAATTGGCGATAAAAATTCACCATCCCCAAAAAGCGCCTCAGCTCACCGACATTGTTCGGCGATGGATAGCTCACTATCGCTTCAAGCTTACCCTTATCCGGCAAAATGCGACCCTCGTCAAGCGTAAATCCCAATAATGTTATTCGGGTCGCCGCTATCTGAGCTTTGTTTGGGTTCAAAGTGATGCCCGCAGACCTCAGCCGTTCTAGAACGTCTCTCAAGTGGCGCACGTGCTCTTCGAACGTTTTCGAGTAAACCACTATGTCGTCTAGATATGCGAGTGCGTGCTGCCACTTTGCATCTCCCAAAACACGGTCCATTAGCCTCTGATACGTAGCGGGAGCGCCCACCAAGCCAAACGACATTCTCCTGAATTGGAAAAGTCCTCTGTGGCACGTGAAAGCTGACTTCTCTTTATCCCGCTCGTCCATCTCAACCTGAAAATATCCGCGGCTAGCATCGAGCGTTGTGAAGTACTTCGCCCCGCCTAGATTGGATACTAACGATGAAATGGAGGGAAGAGGATACGCGTCCTTCTTCGTAATTTCATTCAGCCTGCGGTAGTCTACACAAAGGCGATACGTATCATCTTTCTTTGGAACTAGAACTACCGGGAAACCCCATGGGCTGTTTGACCTCTCAACTACGCCTGTTTCGATGAGTTCGTCCAAGGCGGCGTCTAGTGCTTTCCGCTTAGCTAAGCTGATTGGTCGGGGATTGCATTTCCAAGGGCGTGCATCACCCGTGTCAATTCTATGCTTAACCAGCGTAGTGCGGCCGGGACAGTCAGTAAACATCGCGTCATATTCGTACAACAGCGACGACAGCTGCGCTCGTTCCCCCTCTAGTAGGCTCTGTGCCTGTACCAAAAGCGGGTGCACTGCCCTTTCCTGCAGCGCAGCACATTGCTCCGGCGGGGCGTTTACTCGCTTTCTCGGCGCGCTTTCCTCCTCGCGTAC